ATGTTGTCTTGTTTTGGTGCATACATCTTTTTAATTTGTAACAAGGATTCAATAGTGATTCATGCTCAAAATTCAGGAAAACTTTACTTTATTAATCGCATCCTCCATGACTAACATTTTCCTGGATTTTGAGCGTGAATCACTATTGAATTCATATTTTTAAAAACAAAATGTCACTGTCTCACATAATATTAAACATTCACACCAATACACATACACAACAAAACGAAAACAAGTAGATAGAATAGAAAAAGAATAGAGAAAGCTAGTGTTAGAGGCCTTTTTTTAAAGAACACAAGCAGTTGGAAAACGAATAGAGAGTGCAAGTGTTAGAGGGTCAAATATAGATGGAAGAGATGTGTTTTTAGCTGTTTCTTGAAGATAGCTAAGGACTTGAGTTGGGCAGGTCATTCCACCAGGAGGGAACAGTTTATGTAGAAAAAAAACCTAATTAAGATTATTTATGTTTATGAAATTTTGTGACTTAGCCTATAAATAATGTTGCATGAGTGTTTGTTGTGCATCAAAATAGACCATGCATTTGTATCAATGATCATCGTGTATCATCCAGGTACAGTGCAACACATGGTCAAAGAACAGATGACACAGAATAACATCAGTGTAGGTTGCAAAATGTTTACTAGGCCACTGATATGTTGGTGAATGATATTTCATTCATTGCCAGAAAATGACAGTTTTAAAACTTAAAAGGTAACAGAAGAGCATAAAAATAAACATGTGAAATGGTAGTTGCGTCATCCAGGTGTTCTGGGATTGTTGGTTTCACTGTGCAAATGGAACCATAAACCATTTGTTACAGGCAGTGATGTATTCAACAAATGATAACCACTAATAACAGACAGGTAGAAAGCATGGCAAGCTAGAAATGAAGAGCACAAAGAACTGAAATCAATGTATAGGCTACAGCTAGCTGAAGTTTGCTGTGCTTTATCCTAACATTACACAAAGAATGCCTGCAATCATTCAGTCAGCGACGACTGCACAAAACGTGCACTGTAAACTAATAAAAACATTATAAACTGTTAGGAAATGATAAACAAATGTAGTTTGTGCAACACTGTAAATATATTTACCTTTTTAAAAATCTATATATATCATTAAACCTGCTGAAATACTAGGAGCGTGAACTGAAATTCTCAGTTCCACTTGGTTCCACGCGCATGTCCGGGAAACTCATGAATATTCATGTATAATATTCGTGCCCACGGAAACAGAAAATCTCGGAAACCGAAAATCTCGTAACAGCCGTTTGTAGGACCGAATTGCAAAAAATAATAAGTAAATAGTCTTTCAAACAACGTGTGCTTTGATACAATATATATACATTTACTTTCATTCAGTTTGGTGCATTCAGATAGACCTTTAGTAATAGATACTTGTGCATTAGTTGCTCTTGACAGGTGCAGAAATGAAAGCTCCCAAGCAAAGTACTCACTGGACTAAGATGTGGAAAGACATGCTGCACAATGACACACAATGAGCAACAACCAAGAACAGTATTCACGGTTTACCTTTAAAAATTATTCATAGTAACAGTTAGGTAATAATTATTTGAATTATTTTACCAAGTACAAAATGTTTAATTCAAAAACTTTGCCATTTACCAATGTGTCTCTCAAAACACCTTTTAAATTTGTTTAATTAAATTATTTATTAAATGTTACAGTCAAAGTGTACATATAAACGCCTCATTCATTCAAGTGCATGGGTAATTTTGCAAAATGTGTTAAATATTTTATCTACACTTATTGTATAACTGCTGTTTTTTGCTGTAATTGCATGGTTTTGTAAATAAATGTTCCTCATGCCAGCTTGGTCAAGCTAGTTATTTAATGGACTTTAAAATTGCTTTCATAATAATTAGATGTTTATAAATTTGTTAAGCCATGTTGTTTATGTATTATAATCTATATAATTAAAATGAAAGTAAACGTTTTGTCTAGGTAACGTTATTAATTTTAAATGAACTATGAATGAACAGTCCAGTAGAAATGAAACTGGGCCGAGTCCGGCTTGGATGCGGCAGTGTCGGCGAGTTACGGCCGTTGCATCTGGTCCGGTTGATTCGGCCCAGAATCTGAAAGTGAGTATGCAAGTGTCCAGGCCGGGTGCTGCAGATGGATCCGGGCCGATGGACAGGTCTCTAGCAGAGCATGTGAGCGGAGCGGGGAGCGGAGTGGTAATATTTCCTTAAGAGCGCAGAGCACCTTTCTGAAGAGTCCGCTCCGCTCGCTCAATACGCTCAGCGCCGCTCGCTCAACCCAGAATGCCGTTTGGCTTCGCTCACATGCTCCGGTCTCTAGCAGGTGAAGATTTAACTGAAAATGGCCCGAGAGTACGGAGAGGGATTGTGTATGAGGTAGAGGTAAATAGCCAGCAGACGTCAAATTGGTAAGTTTTCCTAAAGTGTCTATTTTTTTAAATACCGTTGTTGTTTAAGTGTTATTTTGGTTTCTGATCACCAAGGAGAGGCTACGCAAGGTCCTAAAGATGGCGGCAGCAACTAAAAAGTCACGTGACTGAAACCATGACTACTTGAGCACAAATGAGTGAGACGCAGCTGCTGTTTGTCATCCAGTCCGCCAGCGGCGCTGTTCGTTTCCGGGGATGCAGCGCGTGGCGTCTTGCCGCCGTCTGCGTCACGCCCCTCTCACGGACAAAATGGTGGAAACACCGCGTTTGTTTTTATGTTTGAGTGCAGTAGACATTAATAATCATTAATACGTTTGCTAACGTATATCAGAGCGTGCATGTAAACGCAGACATTACGCTGTGTGGAGAGCCTGCGTTGAAGGGTGAGTTTTATTAGAAACCGTTGATATATACGAGAGTTCATACTAGTGTGTGTGAGCGAAGGGCTTTGCACTTGTTTATTCACACACTCTGTTGCGTGTTTCTTGTAAAAAAAACATTTTAAGTCTAATTATCCTTTTAAGGGTCTAAACTAAAGCTGTTTCGATCAGTTAATTTCTCCGTTTGACAGCAATTCACGATGCTGTGGTCTATTTGCACGAGATACATGAGAAGTCCCTCAGACACGCGACGCGCAATGTTCATGTCACAGCATGAGAAGAAATTTTAAGCTATTATGTCGTTGGAAGTACACAATTACAATCATTCATTTATCAGCTGATGTTTGTGATAAGCAAATGTTGAAAAATGATCTAATCATAGCAGACAGATCAGTAAATGTACTTTGGTTCACCAAGTTCGTTGTGTCTCTCACCCGTTCTAAAATATTTGCTGAATTCTTTTATGCCTTCTGTTGTCAGGAGCAATGTAATGCTTAAGTGTCTTTTCGTTACGTTACAGGGATTCAACATGTTGGTTTATTCTGTTTTTGTGGCCACACACACACACATACTTGAACTGCCGCTCAAATACAAAAAATATATTGATAAAATAATAGCAAAATATTTTTTATCAGATCCCTCTATCTATTTAGCATATTTTGTTGAAATGTAGCCTACTGCTTTAAATGCCGTTAGGCAACATTTGTAAATCTAAAATAATGCTTGTTATATTAATGTATTTGTTTGTCAGTAGTTCTTGTTTTTTTGTTGCTACTACTATTTGTTTCTTTAAAAAAAAACATGAATCTTGCCATGAAAATGGCCATGTGGCAATACAAATAAATACATTAACAAATATAATATATTGATACAAGTTATCCGTTAGAGTGTGACTCAAGTCTGTCCATATAAGTGTGTGTGTGTGTGTGTGTGTGTGTGTGTGTGTCTGTCATGCTACAGATAAAGCCACAATAAGACCACAGAGCTAAATTGTCAATCCAGCTTGATGGATGATGGTGTGATGAACATAAGCATTCTTGTGCACTCTGACCAATGAGAGGACAGGTTTACTCGCATGTGACTTGCCTAAACACATTTTGCTATGAGTTGAACGTTGCCTTGTGAAAGCAAACGATCTGCAGGTCCAGAAGCACCCATTTTGATTAGAGTCTGGAACAGAAGCTGTTAGATCATTTCATAATTTTGACAATAAGTGATGATGATGATGCAGTTTGTAATTTAATTACACAGATGTTCATCCCTCTAGTTGTTGTTGAATAGGTCATGTGCAGTGGAAGTTAACAGTGAGGATAATGTTGTGCTTCATCTCAGATGGATGAGGAAGGCTCCAGCTCTGCGGCGATGACCAGGTCCTGGGGCTTCCGCCGGAGCACCCTCGCCAGGCGAGAGTTCATGCAAGCTGTGGGCTCTGTGGACAGCAGCCTTCCGGTCCAGCGCCGCAGGGGTCGGGGCCGGGGCAGAGGGGCTGACGAGAGTGGCCGGACTCCTGTGGCCTCTAAACGGGGTCGAGGATGCGCGCCTGTGCACACTCCCGCAGGTGATCTCAGCAGTGAGAATGAAGCTCGGGAAACAGTGCCATGTGAGGAGCGCCTCAGTGAAGGAGTCCCGTCGGATCGAGCTGAAGACAGCGACGATCTCAATCTGCAAGAGATTCGGAAGCGGGCTGTGGCTCGAAAGCTGCAAGAGCTCAAGCATGATGATGATGCTGCTGCGAAAGGCACAGAAGATATCGACGTAGGGCTGAGCTTACTGATGGAACGGGAAGAGATAGTGTCAGAAGACACGGATATCACATCAGGAGGAGGAAAGGTGTGCTCCTCCACAGCCACAGGGGCAGGTGGGACTTCTGTCGCTGCCGCAGGAGCTCGGGAAGCCACTGCAGGTGGAAGAGCAGAGGAAGACCATGAGCTTGCAGAGGAAGAACAGGAGGAATTCTCTGAAAATAGCAAGGAAGACACTGAAAGGATGAATCCGGATGCTGTCTGCTGCACATGTCAACAAGGACACAGTAACAGGTGAGCATTATGGGCCTGCTATTTTGCAATAGGTGTAGTCTATGGTGTGATTCGTGCAACATGAAAGTAGTATAGTGTTAGGAATAGTCAGTGTTAAGAATTATGGGACTGCTGAATGATGAGCTTGACCAATCAGAATGAAGTATTCCAGAAAGCTGTGAGAAGTAAACAGGATAAAGATGAACATTCCTCCAAAAAACAAAAAAAAAAACTGTCATCATACACTCACCCTCATGTAGTTGTGGAGTACTGAAGTGTTTTTGTGGAAGAGGTGTGTCATCAACTGCTTCTTGAAAGTTGTGATGTCTGACATAATCAGGTGAAGTTTAGCACCTTCATCTAAAGCTTAACTCACGTGAATACCGAAACGGAGTATATTTAAATACAGTCCAGTACAAGTATCAGCATCAAACATGTTACTTTTGGGAATTTAGAACAAGATTTATGTAATGATTTTTATCATACACTGTTCAGAGTTCAGTCAAAATTAGAGCCCGACCGATATGGGTTTTTGGGGGCCGATACCGATATTAGGGAGTTTAAAAAAAGGCATTCTGTGTGTATATTATAGTACAATATCAGTCAAAAATTTGGACACTTTCCCATTCGTGTGTCCAAACATTTAACTGGTACAATATATAGAATACAGTATATACATAAACAGAATATATATATATACATAAACAAATTTTTTGCAATGATCACTCAAATGTGGTGATTGCATAAATTAAATAGCTAAAGTGTGCTTTTTACTGTTTTGTCTTGCTTTTCAAAAAAAAAAAATCAATTACAAAACAACAAATTAAAAAATATTTAACACTGAACTTTTTAAACTTTCTACCAGACACTATACCAACAAAGCACAATTTAAAATTAAATAAGTGAAACTTAAAATTAATAAGTTAGTAAAGTAATAATTTTTGGCCATCTTGAATCAGGCATGTGTTTTTTTTTTTTTACTGTTTACTGTACAATTAAAAGCAGCCTTGCTGAGAAGAGACTTCTTTTAAAACAGAAAATATTACAGATCCTAATTTGAACACTGTGTGAATGTTATAATAAATTTATTAAAACAGAGCTGTTGTAATGATTATTATCATTATTTTTGTCTTACTTTTTATTTTATTTTACAGAACAACAGTAAAATTACAATACTAACATTTATGAATGTTGATAGAGTTCTTGCTTTTTCTCAACTTTTATTTTGGCGAAGACCTCAATGCTTATTTTTTGTTGACAGCAGATTTATAAATGAGTCTCATTATGAATACATTGTACGTATCGCATTGTCACATGCCTTGTAAAAATTCATAAAAATGTGACTGAGCAACGGATGACTGTATCAGCGCTTTGGACTTTGAACCCTGGTTAACAAGCAGATCTGCTGCGAGCTCGTGCAGCGCTGTCAGAATACATGCAATGCGTGCGTGCATTAGAAAACATAACGTTCTGCAGTTTATTTACTAATTGTTTAAGGCCATTTCGCGATTTCAATCATCATACAGTAAACCAGCAACAATCACCCCTTCCTTTTCTCATTGAAGACATGCGATGCAGTCCTAAACAGCTGTCGGTGCTTGTAGTGATTTTTGCGTCTTTCTCCAACAGTTTCAATGCTTCCACACTGCTGACTTGTGTGCTGCATTATAAAGAGTGCGCGCCTCTCACTCTGCGCTGGTTGCTATTTGATTGCGTCATATCATTGTTCGTTACAATTTATTCTGTCTTTTCACTTATTCGGTTCGGTTGCCGAACATTCGGTGCATCCCTAAATATAAATTCACGTCTCGCACACTTTAATGCCCTTTGAATGTAACGTGTACGTTCCCTTGGAACTGGAATCATGGCGGAATTTCATGTGAAGTCCACTTCGCAGGGCACTTACGATCGAAAAAGACCATGCGTGAATGCTGCCTGAACAAGAGACCTCCTTACTGAAGGGAAAGTGTTGACTGGTGTCACTATCTCACGAACGCGCCGGCGGATCTCCACCAAATTCAGGGGATCCCTTCAGCTCCAGGAGCCCTCTCGAACGCCACCCTCCGCGCGTCGGTAGCCCCCCGGGATCGCTAGATCGGTCGGCGCCGGACCGCAAATTTAATCACCCGTAACTCCCGAACCCCAGGGGCTATCCATGTGGGGGTGGTCTCATTCGAAAGAGGGCCTCGAGACCTAAACTCGATTCGCGTTCGCGAGGGTTCCCTGAGCTGAAAAAATCCCCCGAATTTGGGGCGGATTTGCAGCGCCGTTACGGAGATATGGCCGTTCAAAGTTTCAATGCTTTTCCATAGACTTAAGCTTTAAAGCGTTTTATCCAGGTCACCAGTAGCAAACAATTGAGCACGCTCTGCTGGACAAACTAAGTAATTACACCATTTCAAGCATTTTATCTGCGTTATATGTTCTGTAAAAAAAAAGTTAATATCGGCGGCATATTCGCCGATACCGATATATCGGCGACAGGCTCATATCGGCTGATAATATCGGCAAAACAATATATCGGTCGGGCTCTAGTCAAAATACAATCTCTGCTTCCAGCGTTTTCCAGCGCTCATGTGGTAACAAGGTGAACATGTGAGACGTGGTTATGCTGTTACTGGTGATGCTATTGTGTCAGGTTTCTAATGCCGAATTTTCACTTATACTTACCTTGTTGTAACCCGCATTATTATTTTAGATGAGCTAGTGCTAGTAGGCTTGTCTATTGCTTTATCAAAATGTTGTTAGTTTCTGTGATGAGCTAGGAGAGAAGATTCATTGTGGATTACAGTTTTGTTGTGTTTCTTACTCCGTATCTTATTTGATTTTGGAGTGAGTTTTTTTTTTGAATATATGATATTAAATCTGTTATCTTTATTCATCAAGCTTCTTTATGAATTGATTGAAATGTGGTCAGATTTTTCAGCCCCTACCAAACTGACGGCTCCATCTGTTAGGTTGATGTGCTGTGACTGTGTCGGCGTCGCAGAGACTTGCGCTCATCTCCTGCAGAGAAACAGAGAATATGCTTGTCCCTCATGCTCTGATGACTGGGACTCCACGAGATCCAACGGCCCCAGCGAAAAACATGAAATCGACTCAACTTGCGTGGTAATTTTCTTTTTTTTTTGATTATCTGCTTTTGAGTTATTAGGTATATTGTAATATGAACAGTGTGTGTTCTCCAGGGGGGTATTCCAGAAAGCAAGGTTAACTTACCATCTGCTAAACCCTGAACTCTAGGTTGATTAACCCAAACCTTGCTTACTCGAGGTATGCTGGTTCCAGGAGCAAGTTCATTCAACTCAGAGTATGTTCCTGGTTAAAACACAAGACGGTCGCAACAGAGCCGCTATGGAAACGGATGCTAAGAAACAGCGCGCCATGCTGCTGCTTTCTTCTGTTCAAAGGCTGTTTGCATACTTGGTTCATATCGCCACCTAATTGGTGGTTGTGCAATCATTTTCCGTTTAATCTTTAATCCTTGAGAATAAGAATTATGTTGTTTGTTTGATGCTAATTGTATAGTAAGTCATATCAGATATGCATTTTTGTTATAGAAAATATTATATAAATATTGATATTATCGAAAATGCCGACCCATGATGTGTGAGATGATAATATAAAATAAAATAAATATATAATATAATTTTTTAAAAAGTTACCTTGTTATAATAGTGTTTTATAATGTAGACTGATAACTATTATATATGCCACTAAAATTAGGGGTGCTCCGATTGATCAGCTACCGATCATTATCTGCCGATAATCACGTTGGGACACTGCAGTGATAGGTTTGGCACGACATGCAGCGGCACCATCTCAGTCTCTCCGGCGCGGGTGAAATCATTATAATGCTGAAGGTGAGGATAATTCACCTTCATATTTCTTCATTAAATAACTTCTAAAGTATTTCGAAAACCTTGTGTGAGACGTAATTTCACAAACAGCGTGAGTGAATCACCGCGCGCACTCTCTTTCTCTCTGAAAATACGCAAATGGCTTCAAATCACCACACATCGCGTCTGTCTATAAGCGAGCTGCACAGTTGACACAGGAATTGTCACTTGCACAATCGAGGCAGTGTCACATCATCACTAAAGTTTATTCAAGTAAAGTAAAGTTTTTGCATTACTTTTTAATTCTTGCCAGTGTTTAACCATTCAGTGCTCGCACGCTCTCCTGTAGATCGTGCGCTCATGCACACTTGCGGCGCACACACATAATGCCAGGTTCACATTACTCTGTTTGCAGTGCCTGGTATGTGGTGTGTATTTTTTCCGCGCTCATGTTAACAGATTAAAGCATTCACACTGCACACGGCAGTGCGTTCAGGAGCGGTCTTTTTTTTTTCCACCAAGTCTATTTTTGTTTTTTTGCACAATTTTGCACATTGTTTGCAGTACATATGAAAACGAAAATGTAGCAATTGCCTGGTATGTGGTGTGTATTTTTTCCGCGCTCATGTTAACAGATTAAAGCATTCACACTGCACACGGCAGTGCGTTCAGGAGCGGTCTTTTTTTTTTCCACCAAGTCTATTTTTGTTTTTTTGCACAATTTTGCACATTGTTTGCAGTACATATGAAAACGAAAATGTAGCAATTGCACCATAAATGCTTATAATTAAAGTATGCTGTCTTTCACAGTCAACACATATGGCTTGTTGGCTAGGTTTAAAGGAAAAGAGCACTTTTAGATAAACAAGGCAATAATAGATGCACTCGTGGAGGTAGGAAAACAAAGTTCTTTATGAACCGATAAATTTTGCTTGTAATAAAAGATTTCAGTGCAAAAGGAAAGGCAGTAGAGCTGACTATTTCTGTAAATGGTAAGTTTGTGATAACGTAAGAAAAACTTAAATGTTTTGCCACTTGCTTGAGCAACTTAATATATAAATCTAGAATTAAATGCAAAAGTAAAAAGCATTGAATGATGTGTTGCTTATATTTATTGTTTTTAAACATGTCTGTGAAAGATTGTATTACTGTACTGTGTAAAAAAATAATTGCAATGCTGAAAAGCATTTTCAGTGACAATGTTTGGATTTGAAATCAAAATGTTGGAATAAATGTTGTGCTTGTGGTAAACAGCCACGGATCAGTAGCGGACTCCTGTGTGAAAGCTGCTTCCCCTCTCACAGGAGACACCTAAGAGGGGAATTTCCCCCATTTTCAAAAATGAAATGCAGGCCCTGAATAAATGTCTAAAAATCCTGATTGAAGTATCACTATAAATAGTTATAAATTATAAAAAGTCTTTAAAGTGATCGGTATCGGCAGATACTGCTTTCTGCGATCGGTGATCGGCCTCAAAAATCATGATTGGAGCACCCCTAACTAAAATAAATATAGTAACCATATTAGAATAATATATTACCTTATATATTAGTACATAACTATATTCTTGTAATATATAATGTTGTCACGCCCACTGGAGTCTGGTCAGTAGGTCACGCATGCGCTGATACCTCTGAAGTGAACTAACCCTGAAACAGAAGCTACTCGCTATTCGCTACATAAGGCCTTTGTTCACCCCCCCCCCGGGCCGTGTGAGACACTTTTTTTTTTATTTTTATGGATGGGCGTTTTATTTCACTTCTTTTGGACTGAAGCACTGCAACATCCGCTGACTGCAATTATAGAGTTTGGAATAGCCAGGAAAATTTTAAATATAATTAAAGAAGAATCATATACATCACAAGAATCATAGTCATATACACCAAGGATGCCTCAGGGGTGAGTAAAACACAGCCTGATTTTCATTTTTGGGTGAACTAACCCTTTTAAGATCTCATTTAGCCGTGTGAGACACTTTTTTTTTTATTTTTATGGATGGGCGATTTTTAAGTTCAAGTTCTTTTGGACTGAAGCAATGCAACACCCGATGAGTGGCATTAAACAGCTTGAAAGATCAAAGACAGTTTTTAATATAACTCCGACTGGATTCGTCTGAAAGAAGAAATTAATATACACCTAGGATGCCTCGGGGGTGAGTAAAATGCAGCCTAATTTAAATTTTTGGGTGAACTAACCCTATAAACATGCCAGAGTATGTCACATGACCTGCTTTCTGGAACACCCCCAGACCCTGATGAGGCAAACCACTAGAATGTTAGCCGCTTCTACAGGAGCCTGTACTGTTCTCCATCAATAATGTTTATGAAGAAGTGCGTTTCTAATAAGTCGAAGTTGAATTCGTTATCAAGTAGGGTTGTGACGATAGTATTGTTTGTTGCTGATGCCTTTGACGATAGCAAGACGATTATTATTGTTGTTATTATTATCAGTCAAAAATAAACTTGGCGCCTATCTGTAGTGATGGGACGTTTCAGAAACATGCAAAAGGAAAGGCAGTAGAGCTGACTATTTCTGTAATGGTAAGTTTGTGATAACGTAAGAAAAACTGTTAAATGTTTTGCCACTTGCTTGAGCAAAATATGAAGTGGCATGCCTTGTTTAAACAAAAGCATTGACTGTAGTGACTGTGCCGGAGCCGTAGCCCACCGCAGATGTGTGCAGTGTAAATAAGGGGATTATTCATCACTCAGTATACATGGCTTTACTGGGTTATAACAGGAGTGTTTTTTTAAAGAGCATATACTCATGCTAGACTGAGTCAGAGATGATGGTCTTTGGTAATTTTCTGTAGCTGCTTTTTGAATAACTGAGGAAATATAAGCAAAATAGTTAGTAACTTACAATGTTTCTATAAAATTGTTAAATACAAATTCAGTTATATTCAAAATATTAGGCTGCTTTTAGCCTTATGCTGGAGTTGGTTCACTTTCCGGCAGTGAAACGAAGAAAATAATTAAATTAGCACGATAATATTGTGTATAGGCGATCTCACAAGCTGACAAGTTGAAAACAAAAAACATGTTTTAAAGTTTTTCATTGTGACGACAATAGGGGTGTGCGATATTGACAATTATGTCTCGATATTTTATGGGATTTTATCGATGACGATAAATAGACGATATTTTGCTGAGTGTATTATTGTGCTGGTGGTACCTTAAGGACTGCCGAAGACAGCTGACTGTTTTTAATATTCTTCATATTCTGTGTGGTGGTCAGTTCATACTGATAGAAATTAATCTTTCCAATAAGTTTAAACAGATTTTTGCATTTTATGGGCATTTTTACCTTTATAAAGCCATTTTTTCTAAAAGTGTCCATTATCTTTTGATTCAAATTCTTACATTAATCAGGGAATTAGAATAATAAGACATTTGGGCTGTTACCAAGCAAATTAAATCAACACAGAAGCTGCATCTGAAGTGGCATTTAGATGTATTTACACACATGGATTTTGTTTAATGCAAGACATGAATACTTTTAACCTGCAATTACAAATGCATAAATAATGTTTTGATATATTAAACATAAAACGTTGAATACTGATATTTGAAAAGATTTAAAACATGAAAAAAAGAAAAGAAGGAAAAAGATGAAATTTGAAATGAAAACCGCCAGCAGGTGGCAGCAAATCACTGTTAATAAGTGAGTCATTGCGATTGAACCGAATCATTTAAACGGTTGATTCATTCAAGAACGAAACACCGTCATGTTGCTCAGAGACACAAAACAGTGCTGTGGCTGTATTCGGGATGATTTTGTTGGCGAAATAGAGCAAAAACAAGCAATATGGTGTCTAAAACGTAAGTCTCTTAATTAACTTATTGTTTATTGAATTCAATGTCATATTTGTAATCATGGTAATTTTTGGAGAAAAACAGCACTCTTCGTGTGAAATTGAATAACTATGAAGTGGTATAAATATATAAATTTTCTGCCATCATGTCTTGAATTTGTGATCATTCTAAATGCATTTTAATAGACTGAATCATGCAGTGAAAGTAAACAATGCGCACACGCACTAGTCTAGACTTCACGTAATAGCGTGTGCTCTGTAGGGATGTTTTGAATGGTTTTTGCAAAATACTCAATGTCAAATTGCACATCGTTAAAACAACAATTACGATATTATCGCAGACGATATACCCCTAGTGGACAAATTAAATGACCTTACATGAAGCATACAGGCATGATACAATACTACTCTGTACTAGGGCTGTGCGATATTGAAGAAAAATGCGATACCTTGTTAAAAAATACGATATTCGATGTATCGCATATTGCTTAAAGTGTGTCAAATCAATTTCAATTATATTTTAAAATATTTAAAAATGAAAATTATATAACCAATTTGTTTCACATTCTTTCTTGGAAAAGAAAATCACTACAACTTCTGAAAGTGATCAGCGGTGTTTTAGCATTACATAAAAAGTAATGTCACAAATCAGAAAATGTCATTTTAACATCAGTGTGAACATACAAAAAAAAAAAATGTATGACACTAATTTTATATCATTGTAACTTTGCTTTCCATACACTTTAAGTACTTCATATACCACAGCAAAAACTATAGTCTGAGAAAGTTCAAACATGATTAAAGGCAAGTGAACAGCAAGTAAAGAAAAAGAAAAAAAAGAAAAATACAATTTACAAGCATAGATAAAATAAACAGTAGTATTCAGGTACAGAAATGTAATAATTAAGTGTAAAATAACACTGCATAGTGTTCACTGTATGAATTAAATTTAGAATAATCTTTTTGTTGTTTGATTAACATTGGTTACATATTCAGCAGCACGTATTTATAGGCTCCTGTCCCTTTAAAACCGGATCCAGTATAATGATACGCATCCGATTTCTTTTTCAGCTGTTTACATTCATTTAAAACATAACCGACTGCGTTTACGAGAATGATTGTCGAGACGGGTACTATTGACATAATTCTGTGTGTATGTGTCTGTTCAAACATTGAGATGCGAAAGACGAATCAACTCGGTGTTCGCGCGCCATCTGAAACGCGTCTCTCTCTCTCTCTGTGTGTGCGCATCTGTCTCTTCATCGCTCAAGTTGGTAACTTAAAAAATCCTGCCAAATGAAAGCTGTGTGGATTTATTTATATATGGACAAAAACAGGACCATTTTATAGTACATAAGACAACAATCTGTATGATTTATTTGAAAACTACACTGTGGACATCTACAAGATAAATCATGATATAAAATCGCCAGATCGCCGCCCCTACTCCTTCTAGTGTTTTTATGCAATTGTCACCAAACTTGGTCAACACGCATAAGACCGTTGCGCACAAATTTTCTTGCTATTACTTTATCTAATCTGTGTCTTGGGTCTCAGGTGGAGATTGAGCAGCCAGTGGAGGAGGAAGTTAAGGCAGAGGAGAAGGCGGCATTACCTAAATGCATTGGTCCAGGCTGCAGTAATGACTCTCTGCCTGAGTCAGTGTACTGCGGTCATCAGTGTATTGTGCGGCATGCAGCAGCGGCCATGAAGTCTCTCTCTGAACCCAAAATTGAGCCTGCTGACCCACCTCTCAAGGTAAATATTATTTTAGTTTCTTTCATTGTAGCTCCGATCTGTGGTAGAAATCATAACACGGGTATTTGCATTGTCAGGAAAAGGAAGGGAAATCACTATCATGATTCGGAACACAAAAGACATTTTGAAGAATTTGTTTTTAGAAGTTTAGAATTAGAGTTTTAAATTGTGCCCATATCCTGCTGACCAACAATTTTAAATTAGATTATCCTGTCAGAAGACATCAGTTTACAGGGCTCCAGACCCCGCCTAAAACGGTTGCCATTGCAATCAAAAATATTCATTTTTAGTGATATTTTTGCTAAGATCGCCACTGGTAACTATATAAATGGACATGATATGATTTAAACATTTTTTTCCTGCTTGTTTTGCGATCACATTTTTTATGTTGACGTAATAAACTGAAACGATGCGCATCAGAGTTTTAGTGGAAAAATAGTCCTAATTTCTGCCGAAGACCAGCGTTGACGGCACACCTGCTAAAAGCAGCTCCAGTTGTGCAGCATGAGAGGGAACGAACATGACAGAGATGTGTGAATGAACACCGGAGTAAGTGCAGAAACGCTGTGTCTATTTCATAAAAAAACTACAACAGGTAAAGCTGTCAGCTGTGTGGACATGAACAGCATCAACAGTTCTCGTTTATAATCGATGCTAATATGGATTCTCATTATCAAGACCTTTAGTCTATATGCTGTTCTTTTAATGCATGAACTTCATATTATTTGTAGTGCTCTTGCCATCCAGTAATTGCAATAGGCTTTGTGCTCTGTTACCTTTTCATAAATAAAGTATCAACTTTAAAATTCTGCCGAATTCATAACGAAATTCAAACAATAAATACCATATTGGCCCTCCTTAATGTGGCGTGAGTGATCCCATCAGTGCCTCAGTTCAAGAAGCATGTGAACTCATTAGAGCTTTCTCTTTACTACTATAGTACGAAATAAACATGAATGCACACCAAAAGGTATATTACAAGATACAGTGCAACTTACTGAAATGTCTCATGTACTCACTTATTCAGTGTTTCAAACTGCGGAAAAATGCGGTAAAGCTTGTAAACAATGTTATGCAATAATACAATTACCTCAGAATAACCATTCAGCGTCCATGAGCTCATCAGTCAGCTAAAAAAATAACTATAAAGAGGAGCATTTTGCTAAATATATGCACTATATTGCATATTCATATTTTTAGTTAACCTGTTCTCTACATAAGAAAGAATGCAAGGCGCTAAGGATAAAATCCAACTCCTATATAACTGCATGTTACTAATGAAGAAACACAGACTGGATGTTTGCATGACATATGACAACATTTATAGGCTGCATTGAGGAGGAGTCCAAACTACACTCAGTCGCCAAGTGATGCTGACATACTTATGGTCCATGATATTGGCACAGATTTTGTGTAATAAACAATTCTTTGTGACTGTACAGTTCAAAAGGCTTTTATTTCCCACTTTAAGTGAGCCTTAGTTCTCAGGACATTTATAAGATTAAAAATGCTACATTTGTGAAAGGAGGGAAGACATAAACACAATACAGTATGACTGAAATGTTAAAGTGAAAAAAAAAAAAAAAGCATGTTTATTCTGTTGTTCCTCTTTTTTTTTGTATGTGTGTGTGCCTGCAGGAACTGGTTTGATCTGTTATCCAAAACTGTGAGAAGAGTTTTGTCTGATACCCGAAATCAATGAACAAAAGTATATTTTATCTGATACCCAAAACTTTAATAAAAAAAAAAAAGTATTTTATCAACCTGAGAGGTTGACACAGGAAGCTGGAATTATCAGGAAATATTATATCTAATGTATTTGCCTGTTCTTCCGATATTGTTGGTAATTTAATTTCTTTCTTAAGTTGCTTAATTCCAACCAAAAAAAAAACAAAAAAACATTATTTATATTTTGCTCCAACACTTAATTTTACAGAAAGACGAGAGGGTTTTAAGAAATAAACCTGTAAGAATGGTTAGCATCAACTTGAAAGAGCAAATAAAAAAAAAAGAAAAGAAAGGAAAGGAAGAGAAGTGAAATGGAGAAACACTGCAAAATCCAGCTTGTAAACTCAGCGGTTGTGCGACTGGTTACGCATCTGACCAGATTACTCTGATTACGCGGATTACGCGGATTACTCTGGTTACTCGGATTACGCGGATTACTATGGTTACTCTGATTACGCGGATTACTCTGATTACGCGGATTACTCATATTACGCGGATTACTCTGATTGCTCCTGCGTAATCGGAGTAAATCGGAGTAATCGGAGTAATCTGAAGTGTGACAGTCATCAGCGAGAGAACAGTTGATGAGCGTCACTTTAAAACATGTCGTACATTTAAATGGAAAAAATAAACAACATGAAAAAAATCTGTTTAGGTTGTGGAATCACATCACATTTCGGATCAATGCTGGTTACGCATCTGACCAGATTACTCTGATTACGCAGATTACACTGATTACGCGGATTACTCTGGTTACTCGGATTACGCGGATTACTATGGTTACTCGGATTACGCGGATTACTCTGATTACGCGGATTACTCTGATTACGCGGATTACTCTGATTACGCGGATTACTCATATTACGCGGATTACTCTGATTGCTCCTGCGACTGGTTACGCATCTGACCAGATTACTCTGATTACGCGGATTACGCGGATTACTCTGGTTACTCGGATTACGCGGATTACTATGGTTACTCTGATTACGCGGATTACTCTGATTACGCGGATTACTCATATTACGCGGATTACTCTGATTGCTCCTGCGTAATCGGAGTAAATCGGAGTAATCGGAGTAATCTGAAGTGTGACAGTCATCAGCGAGAGAACAGTTGATGAGCGTCACTTTAAAACATGTCGTACATTTAAATGGAAAAAATAAACAACATGAAAAAAATCTGTTTAGGTTGTGGAATCACATCACATTTCGGATCAATTCAGTGTTTGTTACTGTAGCTGTGTACTCAGTTCACTCTTATGCTTTCACATTTCAGAGCGAGAAACGATCATTTCTTGCAAAGCTTTTCAAGGTGAAGATCAGTAAGCTGCCGGCACAGGAAGAACGTGTGAGCAAGCAAGAACTGGATGAAGAGTCACTGTGCTCCGCTACAGTCATTGAGTCTGTACAATCAACCACGCCATCCAGTCCTGCTCCAGAGTACAAACCCAGTATGTATCATGTAACTCTCCTCACAGACACATCTCTCTCTGTGAGCGCGTTTACACGCATGGTAATGTTAACTGAGAAAATATATTGCACTCCTTGACTCTTTCTTGACCCAAGAAATGATAAAGATGTGTTATCATGTAAATGTGTCTCTCTCTTGCACACACACGCTCACACGCCTCCGCTCAATGGTTTGGTTCAATGAAATGTTGAATTAGGTTTATTTAGACAACTAGAGTGCATTTACACAGCCCGTTAAATCAGGCACAGAGTCGGCATCAAATGTTTTTACAGCAAAAACTGATACTGATTTAAACAGAAGCATGAATAAAATTAGCACTCAAAAGTGAAACTCTAAGCAACGTGACAGATACTTCCACCTCCTTTTCACCATTTTGAAACCGCATTGTGCAAGCTTTGGATAAATTATTGGCTGGTGTGGATGCAAATATAGTTATCATTATAGTTATTAGTTGTCGTTATCGTTCTTGGTGTTAATGAGCCTTTATTCACAGAAATGAAAAAAGAAACAAAACATGACCAGTGCATTTGTACAGGTCAATCAGCCAAAACGTATGATTCATCTTACTGCAAAGTGTGGTACATTCACAATCCTGTGCAGCACAACATCATTAAATGCAAAAATAAACTTGGACCACAGATTATACTGGTTTTAAACCCTTGTTGGACTCAAGCAAGATGAAGACATTGAATTCGAGCTGCAAATACTGTAACTCATTTTTATTGCCAACACTGCCAAAACATTAAACTTCAGTATACTAAAATATCAGTTTGTTACTGATAATTACGGTGTGTGCAAACAAGTGAAAATAACAATGTACTGTATATTAAATGGACCTTCATTCATAAAACTTTTACATCATAAATACATGAGTAAATTGAGTAATTTGCACATACTTGTGTATGTTAAGTGTGTTAATAAATTTCAATCTTTCATAAAAATGGTGTATGTACACGCACTTTCAGAATTGGCATAATCCCACCCATGAACCATCTCATGTGATCAAGAATGACTGTTATGTTGAATAAAGGTTATTCAGATGTGTAACAGCCAATTAATCTACATAGAGGTTTCAGTCATTTTCACAGTCCATAGTAAAGATGTGAATCTGAAAGATGTGATTTAATTAAGTAAATCTACACTCTACCGGTTTGGTTCATTGTCTGTGAATCGAGCTGTTCTGAGACGCTGATATCATGAGCTGCATTTTTAATTTAAATTAATAAATTAAGACATATATTACTACTGTAATTTTGCAGAGAATTAAAAAAAATTTTTTTTTTTACAGTATTAGAACGTTTCTTATATTTAATATTTGTTTTATTTCACAATAATCTCAATATTGTAATCAATGATCACAAATTTATGACAATTATGAACACCCCAAATTTTTCCCAAATCTTGAAGATCTAAAAGGATTTCACATACACACAAAAAAAACTTAAAAGAATTAGCAGTGTAAAAATATATTTTCTGTATAGTCGCACTCCCCAACAAAACCACCCTATTCAGTCTAGAAGGCTTCTTTCTTAATACATCAAGCTGTTCATAAAGTAATCTGGTGAAAATGTTTTTGTCATATTGCAGAAAAACTAAATATGTCCATGTTAGTTTTCTTCAGTGTTGTGCAGCCCCAGTGCTTTCACATTAGCACTTTTGGGTTCGTTTGGATGATGTGAGCGCTGCATGTGAATTCCTGGTTTTTCTATATTCTTCTGGTGTTTTATATCTTTATATCCTTCTCTTTGTTTCTTTCAGCCGTTAAAGAGAAAGATGAAGTTGAGTGCAGTATCAGCACACCACAGAGCCAACCTTCAGATTTGACTCCAGACGTTTCCTCTTCTGAAAAAACTCCTGCAGCCCCACTAATTAAGAAGTCCACTCCAGGAAGAGCAAAGAAAACCATGCCAGGCTCTCCACGACTGGAGCTTCTTAAAGGGGCTCTCAGTAAAAGCCCTTTGTCTATCCCTAAAAAGCCCTGTGAATCCAAGGCACCCGTTGAGTCCAGCAAAGTGGTTCTCTGCGGCCCCTGGGCAGAGGAGCCCGCTGTGGCCCCTCACGCCAGTCCTCTCCTGATGAGACAAAGCATTCGCCGCTCGCTGAGTACACTTCTCTGCAGAAGGTCAGAGAAAGCTACCTCGTCTCTAGTCATGTCTTCATTCAAACACTTCATTTTCAAAACCAAATCCTGTTAGAAATGTTAATTGGTGATCAAGCACCAATGGTGCAAAGGCAGGGATACAATGTGTCGTCCTCATCGTCATCGGTCCATCAAATCATACATAGAGTAGTTATAAAAATCCTGAACCTTTAATCAACAGTTAAAAGTTTCACTTCTGATTCCAGAGCCAATGCCAAATTGATTGTCAAACTCCAAGAGCGTTCATTAGGTCTTCAAGAAACCTCTCTCAGATCATCATGGATGGATCATGTTGCCAAAAAGTCATAAAAAGTTTTCTGAAATACCAAAGCATTCTTCTATAAAGCTGCCAAAAAATAAAATTGAACACACAGGTCAGGTTGTATCTTGACGGCAATTTTGTGAATGAATCAAAGCAGGTTTAGTAGCTATAGCTAGTAATACAAAGTTTCAGACATTTAGAAAAGTGCAAGCTAGAGCAGGGAGGTATAAAGGAATAGAGAAAATTATGTATTTATTAGAAATAACACAATCTCTGGAATGCTTTGGCATAGCTTAGTGTGTCATAGTATGACAATATTATAATATCAATATGTTGGCAGTGTCACATATTGGTCAAGTTAAAATCAGTTTTATTGCATTATAATTAATTATGGTTTTATAGACCACTTTGCCTAAAATCATTCTATATTCAGTCCATATTTTACCATTTGTGGTAACAGCTGTATTTATAATCCTGTCATTTTCTTCATCAGGTTCAGTCAGAGTGATGATTTGAAGATTTCTGAGAGTGAAATTGAAAAGATGGCTGTGGACATGGAGAAAGAGATGTTCAACATGTGTTACACAACAGATGAGGAGTATAAGAATAAATACCAGTATCTTGTCCTCACCTTGAAAGATCCCCAAAACAAGGTTATTTTGTCAGTTTACTGTATACACAGTTTTTCAATTTAAATGTTTTTGTAATGTGTGGAGTCATGAATTTATTCTGATGGTTTATTGTTTTCAGGAACTGTGTCATCAGGTTTTGAAAGGAAACATGCCTTCAGTGAAGCTCATTCAGTTGAGTCAGCAGGAGGTAAAGTACTGTGATGTCACAAACTCATGTTAAGTAAATGTTTAGCATTTCAGTTCTTGTCTGGTTTTTTGACAGGAATCTGCTGCTGATCCGCTGTGGCAGATCTCAAAGAAGAAGGAATCGTCCCTTTTTTCTGAGGATGTGGAAGAACCAGCTGATCCTCCTGAGAAAGTGATGAGTGTAGACACCACAACGTCTCCGAGCGCAACCACTCCTTCAGTGAGCTGATGCTTATTTTTTTACATGTTTAAAGGAATCATAACCTTTATCATTCATCTGCTGCTCTCTAGCTGGATTTTAGACACCGAGCGTTAACAAGGACATTGCAGATCATCCACCACAGCAATCTTAGGGTGTGTTCACACTGGCAGGTTAGATTTGATTTGATTTGAATAAATGTGAATGCTGCCATCCAAACCTTGGAACACACCAAACAAGTGGGCCGAGACCCCTTGAAAAGCTGGGTCTCGGTCTACTTCCAGACAGATTCTGGTGCAGTTCGACTGAAATATGAATGCAGCTTGGACCAAAAACTTTCCCTTCTGGTCATGGAGCTGTGACGAGCAACATGAGCTGGTTATATGGCCTATTACAGTTTGGTGCAGTCTTCCTGCAGCACATATTCATTTGTGTGTGGAATTGAATTCCTGATGCTGTTAAAAATTTGAAATTATTATTATTTTTTTTTTAAATACCACCATATGTACATACAACAAGCACATTTAGCCCAGCACACAGCGTTGCTTTATTTAGTTCAATCACAAAATATAAAGGCAGTCCAGTCTTTGCTTTTGGTTTGGTATCTTTAGGTTCAATGTTAAAAATGACACCACGAACCAGGACTAAATGCATAATTTTCTATTTTGGTCAGGACCAAATGAACCAGAACACAGTGTGAAAACATCCTTATATTAGGGCTTTTTTTCCCTTCACTGGCTAGAGCACAGTGGCATTTCTGTTCTACTCTGAGCAATCAAGCATTTTGTCTATCCTTAGGAGGAAAAATCGTCTCTGAAGCTGCCTCAGGCGAAGGAAATAAGCTTAGGTGCTCCAGATGTGACCAGCTGTATGCTGAAAGACACTACAGCAGAACACAAGCGCCATCTCTTTGACCTTAATTGCAGGATATGTACAGGTATGACCTTCTGAAACAAACTTCACATGCACTGCTTGTTTACCTGGAAATGTAAGAAATTGTAAAAATCGTTATAAAGTTATGCAATTGTAATTTATTTACAGTATAATTTGTTACAAATGAATTTCTTACCTGCAGGCCAAGTATCCACTGATGATCCTGAAACCAAGAAACCCAAGATGACAATGACAAAAGAAAATCGTCTCTGAAGCTGCCTCAGGAGAAGGAAATAAGCTTAGGTGCTCCAGATGTGACCAGCTGTATGCTGAAAGACACTACAGCAGAACACAAGCGCCATCTCTTTGACCTTAATTGCAGGATATGTACAGGTATGACCTTCTGAAACAAACTTCACATGCACTGCTTGTTTACCTGGAAATGTAAGAAATTGTAAAAATCGTTATAAAGTTATGCAATTGTAATTTATTTACAGTATAATTTGTTACAAATGAATTTCTTACCTGCAGGCCAAGTATCCACTGATGATCCTGAAACCAAGAAACCCAAGATGACAATGACAAAAGATGAGACAGAAAAGGAGAAATCTTCAGGGGTTGTTCACGTGATCGATGAAGCGTTGTATCCACCAGCACTGGACTCTGATATATTCGAGTCCCCTGCTTCTCCCAGCGGGGAGGACCTAAACTCACAGATACCCTCAGCAGATTTCTCTCCTGTGTTGATACCTTCAGTTCCCACGGTGTCCATCTCAAGAAGAGACCCCCGTACAGCACAATACCGACAAGCTCCGCCATTGTCTGCTGTCTCAGAGTCTGCCTCAATCCCACAGCAGCATCCGCACCCTGTGAAGAACGCACCAGAATCTCTGAAAGAGACGCTTCCACCTCATGTGTCCGTACCTTTGCCTGCTCCTATGCCAAAATCAATCCTCATGAAACCTCCGCCAGCTTCTCTGGACACTTCATATGGCTCAATGACAAGGTGCATGCAGACAGTGTTTTGTATGTCATCTCAACCGTAAACCAATACATTTAATTGTTCAAACTTATACTAAACTTAATTCTAATGGTGTTTATCTCTCTTTCAAGGCTGGCAGATTGTGATAAAGGAACAAAACAGTTTTTATCCAAACAGAGCATTTTATGGAAAGGCTTTCTTAACATGCCAACTGTGGCCAAATTTGTCACAAAGGGATACTTGATTTCTGGCTCTCCTGACTTGCTAAAAGAGGTTAGTCTTTTAAGCTTAACTAATTGAAAGTTAAAGTTGTTTATTAATTATTTTCTCCAAATATGCTGTATATGAATGTGGTTAGTGGGTGTTAAATATGTGCATTTTCTCTGTTCAGGACTTACCAGACACTATACACATAGGAGGAAGGATATTACCTCAAACTGTGTGGGAATATGTTGATTTGATAAAGACATCAGAGGCAAAGGTAAAACAGTGACTTTGAATTTATTATTAATTATTCAGATATATGAATTATATTAAATGCACATTATACAGGTAAATGCCCTTAATAAAATCTATTTGCACTATTTCTTTGAATGCAGGAGCTGTCATTAATCCGGTTCCACCCATCATCTGAAGAGGAAGAGGTTGCATATGTCTCTCTGTTTTCATATTTCAACAGTCGTAGGAGATTCGGGGTTGTTTCTAATATTTGTAAACACATCAAAGATCTTTACCTCATTCCTCTGAGTACAAAGCAGTCCATCCCTGCGGTGCTTCTTCCCATAGAGGGACCAGGTATATCATGCACAGATTGCACTGATTGGTTCTGACATCAGACTATAATAATTTTAACCTGTTTTATGTTATGACTTCTCTTAGGGCTTGAACAGAATCACCCTAATCTCCTAATAGGGCTAGCAGTCTGTCAAAAGCCGAAGCGTCCCGAGGGATTACCACAAGATGTTGGTGAAAAGAATTCTAGGTCCTTGATGTGTTCAGATGGGAAGGGAACCAGCAACCCTACCTCACTAAATGATCCTGGACAACATAGCATAAAGGCTTGTGATGCTGACATCTTCCTTGACTCAAATCCTGCTGGATCCTTACCTTCAGTTGGGTTACCAGACCCATCATGCTCTGCCAGCTCTCTATGTGCCCCATCTTCTCTCCCTAGCGTGTCAAATCCCACCCCATCTGTCACTGTGGGCCCATCCAAAGACTCCACCAGTACCACCCCACTTCAGACCATCCTTAACACATTATTTGGGCAAAAGAAACAACCCTCAGATGTCACAGAGTGTAAGATAATCTCATTAACAGATACGGTTCAGATTTGTCAACAGACTTGCAAAGATGATGATGCAATGATATTGGGTGATGACAGGCCTTACGATCCTGAGGAGTATGATCCGGCATGCTCTAATGGGGCCATGGGTTCTTTCAGTCCAGTTTTGGAACCTAAAGGTCCATCTGCAGTGGCTGATGATGATGATGATAGACCATACGACCCTGAGGAAGAGTACAGTGCAGTTGGTGATACTGTCAGAAATAATACACCAAAAGCATCAGAGGCTAAACACATGGAAGAGACCTCTACATTTACCAGTGATATAGCTTATGATCCAGAGGACGAGACGATGTTTGAGGAGATGCAAAATTACCTCACAAGTTATGCTATACCTCACAAATCCACCTTCTGTGAAAATAACATGTCACATTACAAGGATAACACCTCAGTTACAACATTCTCTGAGCAGCAAAAAATCCTAGAAGAGCTGAATAGGCAGATAGAGGAACAGAAAAGACAGTTAGAAGAACAGACAGAAACTCTACGCCTACAGAAGGAAGCAATTGGTGTTTCCATGGCCCATTTCTCTGTTTCTAAAGCTCTGATGTCACCAACACACTTTGATAGGGATGAAGAGGAAAGCATAGAAAACATACCCTACTGTCAGATAATTCATCAGAATAGGGATCCACGGACCTGTCGAAACACAAGCCAGGATATGCCATTTGATGATACTGAATGTGAGGCTATAGATAAAGAAAGTACAGAGAAATTATTAAACACGGAGGAAGCCACGAATGTAGTCCTGAACAAATCTTTTACCACAAAGAAAGAGAAATTAGCTTCTGATAAAGCAATGCCCAAAGAAGTATCACCAGACACTAAAAGTGCACAACTAAAGAACACTAAATGCTCACACTCAGAGTACACCCACAAAAATCAAGACAGTAGAAGGTCCACACTGAGCACATATAGGTCATCGAGGAGGAAGTCATGGCACGAACACGGGTCACACCACCAAGACGGGGCGTCTTCAAGAGCATCGCGTACAGTTAGATCCTCAAAGGACGTCTCAGACAAACACCATCGAAGTAAACACTCTGCAAGGCATCTCTCTAGAGGATGTTACAGTGACGAAAAAGGAGTGACAACATCAAGGAAAAGGCATTATCACCATCACAGAGACTCATCTTCACCCCCACGGTATCGGATGAGGCGCCATTATTCCCCTGTCTCACACTCAAGCCGGAGAGACAAATCTTCACATGACGACAGTGACCAGTCACGCAAAACTGACCTGTCAGAGCATATCACTAAATCTTCACAACATGAATCTGGCCAGGTGCCAGACAGTGATGGCATTCAATCTGCGTACACATCAGGACAGAGTGTTAAAGTGGAGGGGGAGGCTGCTAATGGCAAAGACAAGCGTTTGGCAGAAGTTCAGAAAGGTGGTCCTCCAAATACAAAACATGAGGCTGATCGAAACCAGGGACTTCAGACGTTCCAAAATCCTGGGGAGGGTTCTTCACAGCCTCTGTTAAATAAGTCAATTGACAAAAATCTGCCACTTTCAGTACTGTCTGAAATGAAGAGAGAGAATTTGCCCCCGAACCAAACGGACTCTTCTAATCAAGGAGCACTACTGCCTACACGCTGTCTGGCCCAAGGCTGTCACTGTGGGCCCATCCAAAGACTCCACCAGTACCACCCCACTTCAGACCATCCTTAACACATTATTTGGGCAAAAGAAACAACCCTCAGAAGTCACAGAGTGTAAGATAAGCTCATTAACAGATACGGTTCAGATTTGTCAACAGACTTGCAAAGATGATGATGCAATGATATTGGGTGATGACAGGCCTTACGATCCTGAGGAGTATGATCCGGCATGCTCTAATGGGGCCATGGGTTCTTTCAGTCCAGTTTTGGAACCTAAAGGTCCATCTGCAGTGGCTGATGATGATGATGATGATAGACCATACGACCCTGAGGAAGAGTACAGTGCAGTTGGTGATACTGTCAGAAATAATACACCAAAAGCATCAGAGGCTAAACACATGGAAGAGACCTCTACATTTACCAGTGATATAGCTTATGATCCAGAGGACGAGACGATGTTTGAGGAGATGCAAAGTTACCTCACAAGTAATGCTATACCTCACAAATCCACCTTCTGTGAAAATAACATGTCACATTACAAGGATAACACCTCAGTTACAACATTCTCTGAGCAGCAAAAAATCCTAGAAGAGCTGAATAGGCAGATAGAGGAACAGAAAAGACAGTTAGAAGAACAGACAGAAACTCTACGCCTACAGAAGGAAGCAATTGGTGTTTCCATGGCCCATTTCTCTGTTTCTAAAGCTCTGATGTCACCAACACACTTTGATAGGGATGAAGAGGAAAGCATAGAAAACATACCCTACTGTCAGATAATTCATCAGAATAGGGATCCACGGACCTGTCGAAACACAAGCCAGGATATGCCATTTGATGATACTGAATGTGAGGCTATAGATAAAGAAAGTACAGAGAAATTATTAAACACGGAGGAAGCCACGAATGTAGTCCTGAACAAATCTTTTACCACAAAGAAAGAGAAATTAGCTTCTGATAAAGCAATGCCCAAAGAAGTATCACCAGACACTAAAAGTGCACAACTAAAGAACACTAAATGCTCACACTCAGAGTACACCCACAAAAATCAAGACAGTAGAAGGTCCACACTGAGCACATATAGGTCATCGAGGAGGAAGTCATGGCACGAACACGGGTCACACCACCAAGACGGGGCGTCTTCAAGAGCATCGCGTACAGTTAGATCCTCAAAGGACGTCTCAGACAAACACCATCGAAGTAAACACTCTGCAAGGCATCTCTCTAGAGGATGTTACAGTGACGAAAAAGGAGTGACAACATCAAGGAAAAGGCATTATCACCATCACAGAGACTCATCTTCACCCCCACGGTATCGGATGAGGCGCCATTATTCCCCTGTCTCACACTCAAGCCGGAGAGACAAATCTTCACATGACGACAGTGACCAGTCACGCAAAACTGACCTGTCAGAGCATATCACTAAATCTTCACAACATGAATCTGGCCAGGTGCCCGACAGTGATGGCATTCAATCTGCGTACGCATCAGGACAGAGTGTTAAAGTGGAGGGGGAGGCTGCTAATGGCAAAGACAAGCGTTTGGCAGAAGTTCAGAAAGGTGGTCCTCCAAATACAAAACATGAGGCTGATCGAAACCAGGGACTTCAGACGTTCCAAAATCCTGGGGAGGGTTCTTCACAGCCTCTGTTAAATAAGTCAATTGACAAAAATCTGCCACTTTCAGTACTGTCTGAAATGAAGAGAGAGAATTTGCCCCCGAACCAAACGGACTCTTCTAATCAAGGAGCACTACTGCCTACACGCTGTCTGGCCCAAGGTGCTACTGACTTGCCTTTACACAGAGATTCACCAGCATTACAGCCATCTGGGATTCAGACAGACGTTTTTCACCATGATACCCAGCCACCACATAACCAAACAGATCGTTTTTCTGAGTCTGGCCAAATTGATCAAAAGAGAAACATGTCATCGATGCAAAGGCCAAATTATTCACATAACGAGACAGACCAATTACATTCAGGAGATTACCCTCAAAGAGCTTTCCGTTTACAATATAGGAATTCATCACAATCTGACACAGATCAATTATATTCCAGAGAACTGCCTCAAAATAAAAGAGGAAAGTTTCTGCATGATGGAGACAACAACAAGCAACCTTATGTATCTCACAAACAGGAAGAATTCTCCACAGGCAAATGTGTTCACCAAAAACATCCAAACCACAGGCTCAGAAGGTTTCCAGTGGAACCGACCGATCAGGTTCATCAAAGTCAGCAACCCACGCCTGACCAGTTACATGAATGCAACTTTGAAGAACCTGAAACCGCTGGATTATGTCACAAAAAATACACATCTTATAAACAAGGGCAGAATTTTCATGAGGATGAATCTGTCCAGTTTCAGCAAAGAGAGTCACTATTAGGGCCTCCTCCAGTGCACAAGGGCAATTTCAGACCTCCTAATCCTAGAGAGCACTTTCACCCTTCCACCTTTGATAAGTGGAAGCCTTTGAGAGAGCATCCTTCTGTAATGAAACTGAGAAGTCCTGAATTTGCTCAGCCTAGGGATGGTAATTCTGGTAGTTCTACGAACTTTGGACCTAGGGGCCAATCCTCAGGGTTTGTGAGGTATGAAGGCCCGACTAAAGATCCTCAACCCAGTGGACCGTTTACAGAGGAGATGTTTGAGAGTCCGGGACCTGCTCGACCCATTGGATCAAAAGACCCATCTCCAAGACAGCGTTCTTTTAGGCGAGTTAGGGGTAGTCACAGGGGTTCGCGTCAGGTAATGCATGATAGAACCCATCTAATGAATTCATCTAAACAAATGAGCATTCCTAATGTTGAAGGGCCAACGGAGAGACAGACTGACACCAGAGACTTGCACACAACCCCAACCAGTAAATCTCATATGCCTCATCTTGCTAATCCAAGTGGTTATTCACAAGATATTTGTGAGCTACATAGCCCTGCCTGCCACCAAACATTTGCAGAGGATGCAGAAGACAGAATACGCACAGGTTTTTCAAGATGGGCTCAATCACACTCTCAGGACACAGCACATGGGCCAACGCATAGCCAGTTTGAAGGACAGCAGTATACTGAAATCAAGGGTCAACCAAGAGGGCTTCAAAGATTCAGAGGACGAAGAAGAGGCATTGTGGGCCCATTTTATGCCAGGGATCATAAAAATAATGCACAAGTAAGGGGACCTCGCTTTGATTCACCACAACCGTTTTTGGGCCAAAGAGAACCCTCTCTTGATTTACATAGACGGAGAAGACCTTCACCTCAAAACTGTGATGGTTTTGATGATCATAATGAAACCCATTCATCTGATTTTCCTGACCATTCCACTACCACCCCCACTCATTTTACAAAACCACAGCATCAGCATTTGGGGCAGCCACCTGCAAATTTGGAGTGCCGGCTCAGACAGACTAATATACGCCCTTTACGTCTATCAGGTCCACTACTCCCTACTCCTCCCGGAGGTCCGATTAGGCAGAACCTTTCCCTGGGACACGGACAAAACTCTCACAATGTCACAGGGACTACTTGACATAAGACAAGGTCATGTCGCAAAGGATGTTAATGGATGCTGTATTCATGAAGAGAAGCCAAGCATTAGTAACTGTTTTAAACATCTGCAAAGTGTTAATTCTAAAAGTGTAATTCAGGACAAACAAAGAGTTGAGTGTGAAAGTAAACCGGAAAAAAACAAGTGTTCAAGAGGAATACATGGTATATCTGAAGACTGTCTACACAACACAAGGAAAATATGATGAAGAGGAGATTGATTAGTTTCTTTTTTTTTTTGTAAATATAGAGGAAATGCAAGAGCACTTGGCTGCAGACTATATAGAAATGATAGGAACAGGTCTTGCAGTGTTTGGCTGAGTAGTCAAGATTTAAACCAACGGGTGCTGTAAAATCATAATTATAGATAGACTTCAGTTCAGTTTGCAGAATGTTCAGAATTAGAATGGATTGAATAAAGGAGCAAGACAACCCCTCTGAAAGTTTGAATTCTTATTTACCAGTTCAAGCATAAATAGACCTTGTTATATACCAGTACACTGTGTGTGTGTTCATTGTCTGTTCTGGAAAGCGAAGCAATGAATGTCAGTCAAGCAGTTTTTGATAAATCTGTTTAAATTTTCTTGAAAGGCTGAAGTTTTGAATTACTTCAAGTTGATTACTGAAAAATGTTTTGGTTTGTTTTGTGGAAGCAGGACATGGTCATGTTAACTACTGACAAGTTTGTAAACATTATTTTTCTCTTGCAATGACATAAACTTCTCTTGAGCTATAAATAGCAGTGTACATTTGTTCATAGATTTTTATGTAATTTTCTAAATGTATATTTGTAAGTAATTCAGAACTTCAAAAGATGGAATCTTTTGGAATGTCCACTGATTTCATTTATTAAACAACTGAACCACAAAACCTGACCACTGCACATGATTGTTTCTAATTGTGTCCCTTCGACCAAAATTAAAATTCTGATCATTTAATTACGTTTACGTGGTTCCAATACTGTTTTTCTTCTTCTGCAGAATACAAAATAATATATTTTGTAGAACACTGGGAATCAAGCAACAAGGTTGGAGTGTCTCTTTAAATATTACTGTTCAGGTTTTGCAGTCTCCACTCCAGTGATGAGCTGAATCAGGTGTGACTGATGACGGAAACATGCAAAATGCGCAGGGCAGGCAGTGGTGGATTAAGATTCTGGTGCCCCTGGGCAACGACACCTAGAGTTTTCCCAAAAAAATTATTCGATTAAAAAAATTAATGAATTAAATGTGCTTCATGTGATAATTTAGATTTTTTTTTTTTTGTGCAAAATTGTTATATTAATAAACTGATCTGATAACAAGGCTACACAAATCCTTACAAAATCAGGTTACCACTTTTTACAGTGTACTCTGAAATTATTATATAATTTATATAATATGATATAAATTATTTATAACTTGTGAACCCACCTCTTACAGGTGTAATCTGTTCTAAGATGTGATATTAATCTGAACTGTATGCAGCAAATTGAAACATTTTATAACTAGTGAAGCCAACTGTTACAGGTATAATAATAATCCAATCTGTTAATCACTTCAGACTCTATGGAAAAAGAGAAAGAGTGGATAATCTTTTTAAAGTCATTGTTGTCCTCAGCTCATTTTTCATTCATTTATATTTAATTTACAAAAACATTTTCTAATGTTTTACAAAAAGGGTGGTCTTGTTTGCAATTACATATACAGTGCTTAACAAATTTATTAGACCACCACCCAATAGGTTTGTGCCACAGCTGCCCTAAACTAAGTAGGTGATTACCAAAATGACCATTGTTATGTTTCTGTAATGGTTAATCCACCAGTATGTGTAAGACCTTTAGTCACAGTAGTGTTTCTAATGCTAAAGTATAATTATTGTTGGGATTTAATAATTCTAAGATAGATTGCACAGTATTTTAATTTAAAAGCAAGTCTTTGGGAACAACTAGAAACTATTTGGAAGTCAGTAACAACAGAGACTGAAAAGTGCATTATGCCAGCAAGAATGCAAGCTTTTATCAAGGCCAAAGGAGGCCATGCAAAATAAAAATAAAATAGCCTATTTATATATTTTTGGTTTATTCGTTTTTGGTTATTATGTGTGAATAAAGACTATTTAGTTGTTTCAGTTTATTATTTGCCTAATGATAACACAATTTTTAGTTTTAAACAAGTTTTTGACGGGCGGCCTAATACATTTGTTAATAGCTACATATAGTTTTGTGAGGATTTGAACTGAAAATAAAACTTACAAACACTCGTTTACACTTTGCCTCTTTCTTGATTGCCAATGGCTGCAAAGTACAACGTGAAAGCGGAAAGCCCATAGCGGATTCACACATCCATGAGCGAGGCATTTCAGTTGAAGAGACGGGAGTTACGCGACAGCATGCTCCTAGAATCTGTTTGAGTCGTATATGGCCGTCGAAACGAAAGCGCACGGGTTCACGCAGTAGGATAGCCTGTGTGTGAATCTGGCGATAGATCGAGCATCCTCCGTTTCACGCATGAGAAAAAAAAGAAGAAAAAAACCTTTTAACAAAACTTTCAGAGAACTTAGTACGTTCTGATGAAAGGGTAGCCTGTATAGGCCACGGCTAGATAGACGTTTGAGAATACATCGCTTGTTTTACCGCAGAACATTTATTTGCATGGTGCCCCCGGGCACTTGCCCAATTGCCCATATGGTTAATCCGCCTATGAGGGCAGGGGGTACTCCAGGACAGGTTTGATAGGTAGTGCAACAGTCGGTTTCCAAAATTAAAAAACTAAATTTAGTTTCTTCATAGGGAAATTGATCTTTAGTTAACTTATAGGTGCAGTATGTATTAATGGGTACTGCAATCCAAATTCAAAATATTGGAGAAAGTGGTTTCTCCCGCCCTCTCCTCCATAGACTTTATGCTGACGTGGGGTTGCCAGATTGACAACAGGAAAGCACAATGACTGCAGTACCCTGTGTTTTCTGCTAACTGGCTACCCGGGGTGCTGAAATCCTATTGGGTAAATTGGCGAAATATGAATACAGTACAAAACAAAAACAGACATTCTGACACAGAACGCACATTTGAAAGTAGAATAACTGGCTGTTTTTAGAGAAACAAGTATGTGAACTTGGTATGTTTCTTTAGTACTTGGTATTGTAGCATCTGCTTAAAATCATGGATGATCATTGGGGCTTTATGTCTTAGAGACCCCTTTTAGCCTTTTGACATTTGCATATAAATGACAGACATGGACCCACATTCTACATTTATATGGCTGCTAAATTGCCAATGGTTTCCCCCACTATCAAGGAGATGCTAAACAGTTTCACCACTCTCGTCTCTTCATCTGACTTCAAACACATTCCAAAGAGGCGTAAATGACCCCCAGGTGCCAGGCACCAACGGCCTGGCTGACCAGCAAACTACCCCCATGCTCACAATACACATAACACACACACATAAAGACATTTTCTTTATTTAGACTATAATCAGTCATATACAAATGTTTCTGGTATATGAATGTGTTGTCTGTATGTTTCCCTATTATATTAGCCTAGTTACCACTCGTTATTTGTATTAGTTAATCTCTAAACGCTCATATTCAGGTGTATGAATGTATCTCTGGTTTAATATCTTCTAGATGTTTCTTTCATGGTATCAAAATTATTTGCTCTTTATTCCTCAAACAATGATGTACAGTATGGGATTATGAAATGCCTCATACTATTTGTACCATATTTTGGGTAAAACTGCACCAGTCCTCCACACCAGCCATAAACATGCAAATGGGTCATAAAGGGAGACAAAGAAAACTTCTCCCGCTCAAAAATTCACGCCTGGTATTGGCTATTCCACCCAAAAGGTGGGTGTGGATAGGAACTATCAAAAGTCATTAACATTAACTCAAGACTAATCTTTACTCAAAAACCTTTCTTCTTGAGACGGACACTCTCCAAGACTCCTCAAAACTCTCCTCTTGAGTTTGATTTTCAAGCAGTTTTTATCTTCAAGTAACTTTGTTGAGTCGCTGTGGACTTTCCTATCTTCAGAAGAACCAGAGGAAAACCTCCAGCTCACTCCTAAAGAACTCATCAAGAACCTCCGTTGTCTACCGCATCAGGACGCTTGTTCAGCAATCGAAGCCAATGCAAGTAACTGTTACAACTATTTAGATGTGTGTTTAAGTTTGAGCCCCTTTTAAGGTGATTTTTGATTCTTTAATGATTCTCATTAGGTTGTGGTTAATTGATGTTAAATGCTGCCATTCTTTTGTTCTTCTCTCTCTTTCCATACTTTCCTTCATTCTGGTTATATGTGTTTTGCTTAGTTTAGTTGTACATTAGCTATAGTTTCATTTATTAAATCCCTTATATTTACAAATGATTGTCTGTGTGCTGCTCACAATTCGGAGTCACTGAATGTTGATCTTTGCTACATGCCAAGTTACTGCTAGTACTGCATAAAGTAGGAAAACTATTCTTCCTTGGCCAGGAATCTTTCCTAGAATTGATAAATGATTTTATTGTCTGCTCGGTGGACAGACAGATCAAATAATTGCAATATTGATTCTGCTAAAGTTTATTCTAAGATCTAATCTAAATATTCATTATTAATTATAACCAGTTATAATTAATCATAAATATTTATCTTTTGAGCTTTTGTATGTTGCTTCAGTACAGTCAATCAAAATCACATACCTTTATAAACCTACTGTGACAGACCTACTGTGAAACTGTGAAATGTTAATCGATGGTATGTGCTATTGTTGATGCAATCTGTTCGAAGTATTTCAACTTTTATTAATTCTTTTTTAAATAATTTTTAACAGTTGAATTTGTGGTGACATCATTACCCATGATGCTGTACAGAAAATTCCACCAATCAGAGAATTGCGGCAGTGACCAAATCAGAGATGAGGTGAGTCCTATCACACACTTGTGCATTATTCTATCATTTTTCATAAAATAGTGCAAGTTGTCACGTTACGCTATTGAGGAAGCATGCAGGAGGCACGAGTAAACAAGAAATGTATTTAATCAAGGAAACTCAGGAGATAATCCACAATAGGAGCTGGGCAAACACACGTAGAAACACGTAAACCTGACAGAAACAGACTGCACAGACTGGGACTTAAATACAGGGGATGATTGGGGAAACACAGGTGCATGGGATGACTAATCAAACTAAAACGAGGAGAGGAACATGATCAAATAAGGAAAAACAGCAGTTTTTATCTTCAAGTAACTTTGTTGAGTCGCTGTGGACTTTCCTATCTTCAGAAGAACCAGAGGAAAACCTCCAGCTCACTCCTAAAGAACTCATCAAGAACCTCCGTTGTCTACCGCATCAGGACGCTTGTTCAGCAATCGAAGCCAATGCAAGTAACTGTTACAACTATTTAGATGTGTGTTTAAGTTTGAGCCCCTTTTAAGGTGATTTTTGATTCTTTAATGATTCTCATTAGGTTGTGGTTAATTGATGTTAAATGCTGCCATTCTTTTGTTCTTCTCTCTCTTTCCATACTTTCCTTCATTCTGGTCATATGTGTTTTGCTTAGTTTAGTTGTACATTAGCTATAGTTTCATTTATTAAATCCCTTATATTTACAAATGATTGTCTGTGTGCTGCTCACAATTCACGAGTCACTGAATGTTGATCTTTGCTACATGCCAAGTTACTGCTAGTACTGCATAAAGTAGGAAAACTATTCTTCCTTGGCCAGGAATCTTTCCTAGAATTGATAAATGATTTTATTGTCTGCTCGGTGGACAGACAGATCAAATAATTGCAATATTGATTCTGCTAAAGTTTATTCTAAGATCTAATCTAAATATTCATTATTAATTATAACCAGTTATAATTAATCATAAATATTTATCTTTTGAGCTTTTGTATGTTGCTTCAGTACAGTCAATCAAAATCACATACCTTTATAAACCTACTGTGACAGACCTACTGTGAATGCCAAGGATGTTAATCGATGGTATGTGCTATTGTTGATGCAATCTGTTCGAAGTATTTCAACTTTTATTAATTCTTTTTTAAATAATTTTTAACAGTTGAATTTGTGGTGACATCATTACCCATGATGCTGTACAGAAAATTCCACCAATCAGAGAATTGCGGCAGTGACCAAATCAGAGATGAGGTGAGTCCTATCACACACTTGTGCATTATTCTATCATTTTTCATAAAATAGTGCAAGTTGTCACGTTACGCTATTGAGGAAGCATGCAGGAGGCACGAGTAAACAAGAAATGTATTTAATCAAGGAAACTCAGGAGATAATCCACAATAGGAGCTGGGCAAACACACGTAGAAACACGTAAACCTGACAGAAACAGACTGCACAGACTGGGACTTAAATACAGGGGATGATTGGGGAAACACAGGTGCATGGGATGACTAATCAAACTAAAACGAGGAGAGGAACATGATCAAATAAGGAAAAACAGGAACAGAAATGGGCAAAAAACGACACAGAACAGTCCAGAATCCTGACATTATGTCCCCCCTTGGAAGGCGCGTCCTTGCGCCATCAAAACTACATGGGGAGGGGCGGGTGGGAACTTGGGAGGAGGTTCCGGAGGAGGACGGACACCCGGGAGGGGGCTGGCAGACAGAGACCAGGGAGGTGACGAAGGAGGGAGGAGACAGGAGGGGCTTGGAGCAGGAGGAGCCCAGCTGGACCCAGGCCACAGCCATAATGTCGACCCACGGTGGAGCCGACGGAGGGAGGAGCCATGGAGGAGGAATGGCTGCTGACTCCAGGGCGCTGACCAACGGCGGAGCAGGTGGCGGAGGAGCCCGAGGCGGACAGCCAACGAGCCAGGGGGATGCCGAGGATCCGGGGGGCCAGGGTGGAGCCGAGGGCATCGGCGACCAAGGCGGAGATCCGCAGCGGAGCCGGAGCGACTGAGGACCAAGGTGGAGCTGGCGGGAGGAAGGAGCCCAATAGAGCCGGTGGGACGGAGCAACGAGGTGCAGCCGGAGGAGCAGAGTCCTGAGGCGATGGCGGGTCAACCGGTGGAGCTGGTGGATCGATGGGTGAAGGTGGAGGTGAGGGAGCTAGGAGCTGAGGTGGAGCCCCTGGGTCTACGGGCCAAGGCGGAGTCTGGAAGGATGGCAGACTCGCACAGTATTGATGGTGGGCTGAGGGCGAGCAGAGGGGCTGCCAGACGAAAGCAGTGGAGGAGGCTGGAGTTTATTTGTGAGCCTCTGAGCATTCAGGGCTAAACTGTGGATCGGGAGCCCCCTCTAGGCTGAACACGGGAACAGGATGGCGCTCTGGAGGAGCAGGCACCGGAGGGCGCTCTGGACTGGATTCGGGGACTGGAGCCCTCTCCTCCTTGGTGTGGCACATTCGCCGCGCCATACTCAGCTCACCCTCAGCCGTGGTGCAGGGCAGAGCTCCTCTCCGCGCTCACACCGTCCGCGGCCTTCTTCGTCGTGGCGGGCATTGTCGCCGGCTCTCGCACCTGGTCTGACGGGTTCAGCTCTATGCCTATCCCGGAGGGTGATCCTCTGCTCAGTCGCTCGGCTTTGCGCTGGCTTGCTGATCGCGGCGGGAAATTATGTTGATTTTCCTAAAATGTGTTTTTTTAAACTCACCATTTTAGTGATTAGCGTTCCCTTTGGTTGGGCTCTTGGAACTTAATATAAGTTACTAAAATTTTCTTCCTGTTAGTACAGCAGTGTTTCATGAAGTCAGAGCTTTTTTTCAAGAAAAAAAGACAGCAAATAAAATTGGCAAATAAAATCAACAGTAAAACAAAGCAATTGCATAATTTATTCATGCCGCAATGCACTCTGGGAGTCAGTGAGTAGCTATACTAAGTAATGAGTAAACCTAAAATAAAGGATCTACAGTTTTTCTAGTTACTAGAACTCTCGTGTAAGTAAACTATACTAAATAAGCATTTGTCAGTACAACATACTATATATTTCACTTTACTTTGTTTTTTCAAGGCAATCGTTTTGCATGCTTTTTTCAAGTAAGCCCAACTAATTCGAATTTGCAGTGCAGGTAACCGTGAGGTGCATCTTTATCTGCGGGAGAAATGATAGGCCGTCTGTAATGCGTCTGTAATGCGAACGCTTTGGCCATTCAAGGTAGAAACTTTTGTGAAGTCTTTTGTATTTTGTAATTTTAATAATATATCAATGTCATAATAAAATATACACACATTTAAGAAAAGTCGGGGTATATATGGGTTTTATTTGAACAAAGTTATCACATTTCAAAATGTAAAAACGGTCAAAATGACTGGCTTGGTAGTTCTAGTGTTAAAGAGAGCTTGTTCTTGACCGGTGGATATCTGTCAAAGATGTTTCAGCTGTTTGTGTCACTGAATGACCTTGCTGTTCCTGCCATTAGCAGTTTGCAAGACATATTTGCATAATTTATCATATCATCATTTAGCCTCTCTCCCCTCGCTTCAGGACATTTACAACACCCGTCTCACTCGCAAAGCCCTCTGCATTGCAGGTGATCCCACCCACCCGACACACAGCTTCTTCAGTCTGCTGCCATCAGGGAGGAGACTGCGGAGTCTCCAGGCCAGGACCAGCAGACTGAAGGACAGCTTCATCCATCAGGCTGTCAGAAAGCTGAACTCCCTCCCGACCTTGCCCCCCCCCCCCTCTTTTGCCCCACGCACCACTGAACTCTGACCCTCCGACGTACTCTCCCACTCCCCCCTCCCAAATACACACACACAGTCACTTTAATCAATCAGTCTGAATGATTGATTTTTTTGCACTACAATCATTATATCTGCACTGTTGTTTACTTCACTGGTTTGCACTCTATCTGCCATGTGCCTTGTGCTGCTTTATATATATTTTTATATTTTACCTTATTTGTATACTTGTATAGTTGTATTTTATATTTAAATCTGTATTTAGGTTCTACTGTTAGTGTTATCTGTATGCACCAAGGGTCTGAGAGTAAAGCAATTTCAATTCTCTGTGTGTATGTGCTGTACATGTGGAAGAATTGACAATAAAGCAGACTTGGCTAAAACTTACCACAGGTTGCAAAAAAAGTTAAATATTTGAACAATTGTGAGACAAAAACTTCAGTAACATGACCTTGCATGGGGTCCTTCAACTGGAATTTATTGATTTAAATTTAGGACACATCACTGATCTGTTATAGATATCCATATCCTGATCTTAAATCATGAATTTCCACGGACAACTTTAAACAAAATTTGCCCATGACATGTAGACATCAGTTTTCGCCTCAAAATGATTAATGTCAAATGCTCTCTCTCTCTCTCTCTCTAACATCATTAACTTACAGTAGTGAAAAACGCTTTCCCACAGGTAGAGTGCATGTTCTTCTTGTGTGTCTGGATAATGGACTCATGAACAATATAAATATAATCACGGAATTACTTGCACTCGCCCTGATGTGCCGCAGTCAAAAGGCTGTGTTCGCATATCAAACACAGATTTGTCCAGAAACAAGGATTCATTCTGGATAATAATTAATTAGGAGTTGGTTATTGTGGTCATACGGGACAAACTAGGGTTCGAATGGCTTTCATATCACGGATGATGCCGTAAATACAGGAGGCATATATCACTACTTTGCGGGGTTGATATACAGGTTGCAGTAAAAAAAAAATAATAAAAAAAAAAAAATAAAAAAAAAATACAGGTTACAGTCCTGAAACAGAGATTGCATCATTGGGATTTTAACTATGGTCTTAATGTGATACTTATCAAAAAAACACGAAAAGTAAAGCGCCGAAGGGGTGTGACGTCACTAACGACGCAAGCGGCGCACGCACGTCCATCGTGTTCAGCTCCCGAGCAGTTGTGTGTCAGGTGAGCCTTTAACCACTTACCGTGTTAACGCACTGCCTCACTGCAGATTTGACCATCTACGTTTGTCTCATGTTCTGGAGACATCATTTCCATCATTAATACTCTCATTAATGGCAGCGATCGAGTCGGTCGTTAGGTGCGGGGTGTGAGGGCGGGAAACGCGGGAGTTGAGGCCGCTGACTTCCACTTAAAGCTGCAATCCGTAACATTTTTTTTTGTTAAAAATAATCCGAAATCAACATTTGAGCAAGTACATAACCAGCCAGTGTTCGAAACTATCGCCTTACTTTAGCCCGATTCACAACGGGTAGGTTTTCGCGGGAAATTCGAGCATGCCGCTGCGTCATTACGTCACGTCTGTAAACATGAAGTTGTCCGGCTGCTAGGCTATCGCATGCGAGGATCCTGCAGGTGGAGGATCGTTTATAGCCTTTTCTCACAGCAGCTGGAATAATTAAATTTATCGTTTTAATGGCAGCTTGTAATCCAGAAAGTATTATTTGTTTATGAAAAACATGTGAATGAAATTAAATTATATTCTAGTTTTAAATGTGCTTCTGATTACAGATAGCCTGAGATTACAAAGATTTGTGTTTTAAAGAAAACCAGTTCAAAGGGAGCATAATTTGCTTTTTTGGTGAAAAGGATTTCTTAATATGAAATTCGAAGAGTATAGATAATGAGGAGTTACGTCACGATCTTTTATTCTAGTTTTAAATGTGCTTCTGATTACAGATAGCCTGAGATTACAAAGATTTGTGTTTTAAAGAAAACCAGTTCAAAGGGAGCATAATTTGCTTTTTTGGTGAAAAGGATTTCTTAATATGAAATTCGAAGAGTATAGATAATGAGGAGTTACGTCACGATCTTTTCACTCCGCATTGCATTTCGGGAAGGCGCCGCCATATTAGCAGGATACGCTATCCGTTCCCATGGTTACTTCTCATTCTCTATAAGGATAAGTGCCATTCTTTAGTGACAATTTGATTAGACTGCAGAAATTGAAATCTTCTCGCTTATACACCATACTCACGCAATGCTGATGTTGTTAACATTAACAATTTGAGAATAAATTATAACAATAATAATAATTTGCACGGTTTGATGTGATTTTAGAATTAATTTAATTAATTAGATTAAATCACCATTGGTAGTGCGATTTATGGTAATGCTTTTTTCCTCAGTTGGTCAGAACAAACGTGGCAGACTTGTTACTTACTCGTTCAGATGACAATATCCGGTCAAATTGCTTATTTGGGTCATATATTCCAAGACGTAGGCTAGAATCTGTGATTGTGAAGTACAGTAAATATCCACACCGGTGCGGTGACTGACTGCCACACATACTCTTCAGAACATTAGATTCATCTGCGCTGGAGGCAATTTCAATTTCTTTTTTTTTAAATTGAAATTAAAATTTGTTTGATTTGAATTGAAAATAAATGTCAATTTCTTTCCATTTCTGTGCCGCCGCACAACCCACACAAGCTAGATAGTTCCGCACACTGCTGCAATTGCAGGTTTTCAAACAGAGATAGATTGCAAAGAGGCAAATCTTGCGGACTGCAGCTTTAACAAGCCATAGTTATAAGAAGTGTTTTGGCTAAAAATACTATTATAAATTTCTCGTTTGATTTTAAGAAAATTGGTATATTGTTTACTATTATTAATTGTTACTTCTGTAAAATATAGCAAATCAGGAAAGAATGTCTTTTTGTTTAATGTTTTGTTGTGGTTTTTGGAGAATGGATGGATTTTTTTTTAGAGTGGCTAAAAATCCCATGTTCCCATAGTTTTTCTGTAGTAATTACGGCATTTAAATTTTAGCTGATGTCATACGCTGAAAGTTATATTCACGTCTGTCGCATTACATCTACTTTACAGAGTTAGGTATCCACTTAAAATTAACATGCACTCCACAGCTCCTTTTACTTTGCCACTAATGTTCCATATTTTGAGTTAAACAGGATAAGACACAAATGCAGACAGATCTGTTTTTATAGCAAATTGGACTGAAGTATGGTTTGAAATGTCTTTCAGGATGAGCACATCGATGGCCTGTAAGAGTCAACATGCAGCAGATGTCTATGAGCCTGTGGGCCAAAGCTCAGAGCTCAGCCTGGTGGAGATGACGGAGGTAGAGTACTTGCAGCACATTATTCAGAGCCACATTGATGCTCAGGTGACCGAGACGGACAGCTCGGGCCTTTCACAGCTTGAAGAAAGCTTGTATGACGAGCCAGAGAGGCGTCTGGCCTGCTCGCCTCAGAGCCCCTTAGTGTGCAGGCCGGAGGGGACATCAGCGGGGCCGGTGGACCTGCAGGACATCAAGATGCTGTTGCTGAGTGAGTCGAACACCACGCCTGCCAGCAGCGCCGAGGTGCCAGGCTCAGTGCTGAGCAGAGTCCGGTGTGTCGTCGAAGAGAGGGCCGATGAACGGCCCCTGGAGGGGAGACCCAGCCCAGCTGCGCGTGTCTGCCTGGAAAAGAGGTAAAAATGCATGATGTTTGGGGAAAATAATCTATTTAATTCATTTTGGAATAAGGCTGTAACATAACAAAATGTAGAAAAAGTGAAACGCTGTAAAACTTTCCAGATGCACTGTAATTGAACTTGACCAATCAAAATTCAGCAGTTAATAACATTGAATCTGAATAGCCTACCATTTAAAAAATAAATAAAATGCATACCAGATACAAGGTGTCACTATAATTAGCAACTTTACATGTTAACTAATAATTCAGCAACCATATGTGAGTTTTTCTGAATCCTTGCTTTAAGCCCAAACAAGAGTAATTAATAAACTTTATCTTCCATTCTAACTTGTTAAAAACCCTTCTTTTTCTGAACTCCTCCTGGGCCATTTGTCAGACAACTTGCACATGCCAGCTCTATGGAAAAAGAAGGAAAGACTAAGAACAATATAGTATATAACATGTTCAATATATAGGTTTTTCTAGTAATAACACAATAATCTGTTCATTGTCATTCTTTAAATACATTATTGAAGTATCAGCAAACTCCAGTTTCGGACGATCAGATTCAGATTTTGGATGACGATTTGTGTATTTATACATAAACCAGTTTCAATACACACTGTATGTGTATATATTGTTTATAGTTTTAAAACAAACCAGCATAATCAGCATTATTGAATGCATATATTTCGATTGCACATAAAGCGGCTTGTTAATATTTATACAACAGTTCGTTCTGGTTCTCAAATCTGATTTGGTTGAGAACCGTGAGATATTGTACTGGTATCGCTACAGGAACGCACTTTCACAATTTTGTATCACTCCGCTTGTTCTAGCCAGGTCTGTTTTTTTTTAAAATTATTCACTGAGCTAATCGTAGAGTACGTTAGTTAATATAAGAAGATCTCTCTCATTTGGATGCACGTCTTGCCGCATTGTTGCTCTCTTATATAACCTCATTATTTCTCACTAATAACCTAACTGAAGCAGCACATGCCCTTAATACGAATTCTAAAAGTGATGTATGTTTAATTGTCAACTTGAGCTTTACATCCATGGCGGAAGGAAGTAGTTCCGCACAAAAGAGGGTTTTATTAGGCACTCCGTTGTTTCTTGTTTAATTACACACATGTTCCGTTGAACTGATGTATAAACGCAATATCACTCTCGTACTCAGATCAGCGGCTGTGATTGCCTCGTGCCTCTGGCCTAATCACAACCACTGATATAGAGCCGGTATCGCTCGAGTACTCCAGTGATATTGCTCATATATATCAACCCTCTATGGACACCTTGGCAATTGAATCGCCATTTGGCTAGTAAATGTTTTAGTTTACTCTACAGACTGCTATATATAGATATATAATAAATGTTTGTAAAATGGCACAGTTATTTAAATATCTGAAAGTACACTCTTAACATCAGTCAGTCAAGCATTATAATATGATAATCAATATTATTTAATGATAGAACTTTAGCAATTAGAATTAAAACTTGATAACCATGTATGAATGCATATTAGTCATTTTAACTGAACTTCGGACTGGTGGTGCTGCTTTTTGGTCATTCAGGGTTTCTGTAAAAAAAAAAAAGATTGGGGAAAAAACTAACAAAAGTATTGATAAGATAATGATACGAATTCTACTAATAAGAACAATATAAAATGCTCTAAGGATTAACGAGCTGCTGGATACATGAATATTAATCATGTTGTGTGCGTTCGCTCAAACTGATTCGCTGAAATCAAAACTGGGACGATAATAGGTGAGCGCCAGCCAATGAGATTGCCGTTTTGCGCATTAGTTCCGCCCACTACCGGAGAAAGCGGTAGTTCTTAAAAGCTGAAGAATTCCAAAGGAACTCCGTTATTTTGACAGTAAAGAATATCGTTTACATGTAGCGC